CAATTCAGCTCGCACCTCTACGGGAAGCATGGCTGGCGAAGCAACGTCAACACTCCAGATGTGTACACGGCAGACTCTGGAGGAGATTACTTTGGCCGCGCTGATCCAGAGATGGATGACAAGTTGCAGAAATTGGAATGGCAGCGCAAACTAAAAAAGAGGGCCAAAGATAAGCGCAAGAAGGAAGAGATCTTCGTGAGTGGAATCTCCTCTGATTGAAAAGGGCTCGTTATTGACCCAGCAATTTCACCTTTTCAGATCACGATGCACGTTGCTGCGATCCTGCAACGGCAAGAGTTCCTCTTGAAGCTCGCCCGAGCCTTGATGATGTTCGGAGCACCTACACATCGCATCGAGACGCAAATCCAGCAGACAGCGCGCGTGCTCGAGATCAACGCCCGATGCATCTACCTGCCCAATCTGATGCTGCTCGCCTTTGGCGATGATGCTACGCACACCTCCGAGACAAAGTTCATCAAGCAGGCGGGTGGTCTGGACTTGACCAAGCTGACCGACATGCACTCGATCTACTGGAACGTGATCCACGACAAGATTGGCGTCGAGGAGGCGAGTTCGCAATTAGACGAATTGATGAGACGGAAACCCGTCATTGGCATGTGGCCCATGGTTTTCATTGGCGGCTTTTGCTCATCTTTCATCTGCGTTGGAAGCATGGGGTTCAACGGGAGCTTCATCGACGCTTTGGTCGCCTTTCCGCTCGGCATGTTCCTCGTCTACTGCCAGAGCGTCATCACCACAGAACTCTTTAGCAACGTATTCGAAATCGTCTTTGCTGCCATCAACTCCTTTGTCGCTTCCGCACTCGCATCGACCCAGTACTTTTGCTACGCGGCGGTGGTCTCGGGATCCATCGTGCTCATCTTGCCTGGCTTCATCGTCCTCAGTGGATCACTTGAGCTGCAGAGCAAGAACTTGATCGCTGGATCAGTCCGCCTCGTCTACGCCATCATCTACAGTCTCTTCCTCGGATTTGGAATCAGCATCGGATCCTCTTTCTGGCTGCTCTTCAGCGGGTCAGGCGACAGTACGATCCAGTACCTCAATTGCACAGATCCGGCCGTACATCCTCCCAACGTTTGGTGGAGAGAAACGGTACCCTTGGCATGGGGCTTCCTCACAGTGCCCGGTTATGCCACCGCGTTGTCGATGCGTAATCAGGTCAAGGTGAATCGAAAAGAGTTTCCAGTGATGGTGTTGATTGCTTGCGCAGGATGGGCAGTCAACCACTTCTCGAGCACAGCGGGAGCTTTGACTGGTCGACAGGACATCACTTCCGCCCTAGGGAGTCTGTGCGTCGGAGTGCTAGCGAACATTTACGGAAGAATCTTTGACGGCAGAGCCTTCGTCGTCAGCGTCCCCGGTATCCTCTACCAGCTTCCTTCTGGTCTCTCCAACGGTGGTCTGCTCAACTTTGCCAGATCTGGCACAGGAAGCAGCGCCACGAGCAATTTCAACTCGGGCTTCGACGTTGCGCAGAGCCTCGTAGAGGTGGCAATCGGTCTTACTGTCGGCCTATTCGCTGCTACCATGTTGGCGTACGTCTTTGGTGGCCGCAAGATCCGAGGAGGCGGACTGTTCTCCTTCTGATCTCGTTGCGCGTCGTCTCCAACGTTGCGCTTCATTCACAATCTCAGCACAAACTCGCTGCCATTTTCCTCTGCGTATTTTCATAGAAATAGCTACGCGAACATCTCTCCAGCACTACACTATCTCCCTTGCACCTCTCACCTATTTCCGTCCCCAACACAGATTACGACCGTATTGGATCTGACGCGGTGGCCCGCGTAGAGACACGCGGCCCACGCGCAAGATATCGCTTTCCCCACATCCCTCACCATACATGTCATCGCTTCCACGTCCTCTATGGATCTCAAATCGCACAGCACACGTTCCACGCACATCCATGCAATCTTCTAATCTTCGATTCATTTTGGAGCTGCAGTTGGTTGACAAACAATTCGAATTGGCTTTACAGCATGCGTCGCGCTATCGAAGTTGTCGAACCTTTCCCCACATCACGTGACTGAATTCACGGCTCAGCGCGAACCGCGGAGATCAAGAAATAATCATCATGCAGATGCAACTCAGCAGGTTGATATGTTCATACCTGAATCTCGCCCAAGATTGTACACTTTGACTGCCACTTCCGCTCCTGCGTCGTCCTGTCTACTGGCTTGCTGCATCACCAATTTGCGCCTGACGTCTGCTGTCCAAATAGAAGAGACCTCCCGCTCACGATGTCTCGACCTGTCGGTGAGAAGAAGGAACCTTTGTCGGTCGAGAAGCTGCTCGAAAAGCAGAAGGAAGCGCAGGGTATCAAAGTGAGTTAGTTGCTCTAGCTCGCTTCGAATCAAGCAGAGGCTTCTGATGGCTAATGTCCTCCCATCCCGTTTCGCCACAGCCGCGCTTCTTGAGCAAGGCGGAGAGGCAAGCTCAAGCGGCTCAAAAGGCGGCTCAGGAAGAAGCAGAGAGGGCTTCGAGGCTTGCTCGAGACAAGAAAGAGAGGCAAGAGCTTGAAAGGTCTGCCAGGATAGAAGGAGGTGGCAGGGAGAGAGATGGTCGTGCAGATGTTCGCGATTACAGAGATTCGCGGGAGCGGGCCTATGAGAGACTGGCATATGATCATGTGCCCACTGGACCCCGAGGTGGCGCACCACCGCCTGGACCCTCAGGCGCTCGATACCCGCCCGAGGCCAGGCGAGAGGCCCAGCACTCCCATTCGGCAGGACCCTCTGCCGGAAATGGTACAACCCACCTTTCAAGCCCGTCGGACGCCAATGGCCACGCCATAGCTTCGACGTCCGAATCCATCAAGGATCGGTATTTGGGCATCAAGCACGTGGTCCCCAAGAAGACGAGGAGGCAACTGAATGACAAAAAGTTCATGTTCGACCACGATCTCAACGAGGACACGAGC